CCAGGCTGAACAACCTCAACTCTCAGCCTTTTTTTTTTCATCGGAGAGGATCATTTTTGTGGCCCTGCTCTGGACTTGCTGCAACAGATCTATGTCTTTGCTGTGCTGAGGACTCCAAAGTACTCCACAGTGCTCCAGGTGGGTGTAGAGGGGAGACAGATGTCCTCAGAGCAGAGCAGAGGGTGAGGCAGATGTCCCAACAATCCCATTCCTGCAGGCAGTAGGTTGCTGGGGTGGTGCAGGGGTGCTGACTCCAGCTGCTTGTGCAGCATCCCCACCAGACACAACCTGGCCTTAAACCCAGGACATTTCCAAGCATGAAAAGTGCAGGGATGTGCCAAGAGGGCATCCCCTACAGCCCACCTGGCTCCCCAGCTCAGGTTCCTTCATCCCCTCTGCAAACCCTGCTCTGGATAAAGACCCCTGAAGGAGATGGGCATGGGGGACAGTCTGCATGAAGTTGGTCAGTCAGGACACACATATTCCCTTCCTGCAGTCGTGTTTGTCATGGATGGAGGAACATGCTGCAGCCCAGGCACGTGTCTTCAGGGGGCTGCATGGACCTGTTGGGTATCTGTGTGCTTGTGCCTGGCATGGGAGGTGCAAGATCTGAGTGAGCTGCCTGTGCCATGCGTGGTGTTGGCATATTTTATGCCTGGGAAGGCAAAGAACACCAAGTTTTCATGGGCAAATATTTGCATATTTTCCACTTGTTCAAGCAGATAAAGCGTTTCAATCCTTTGTTGAATCCTCAGGAGAGCCAGGAGCATCTTCTTTTCAAGGGTGTTTCCCTTTCTTGTGTCTTCCTTTCTCTTTTATCTGCCGGTTCCCCTATTTCAAGAACTGATGAGCTGCCTCCTGCCCCTCCCCACACCCCCTCTCCCGTGGTCCTGCACAACAGCTGATGCAGAACGTGGCCTGGACAGTTTTGCTGTTGCCTGAGCTGAGCTGCTGCATTTCCCTGCTGATGACAAATACAGCAGCTCCCTAACAACATTAAGCGTGGGCTGTGTTAATAACAGCCTGGAAACTCACCCTCTCCTCTCTCCACACTGGAGCCCCTCCCCAGCCACCAGTCACCAGCCTTCCAGTTGCTCTCTGAACACCCCCTGCAGAGCAAAAGGGTCCCACCGAGTGGCTCCAAAGCTGTCCCAGGCCACTGTTGGGCTGGCAGAAATATTCTTGGTTGTGCATTGATGGTGTGACCCCCACCCCACCCCTCGTGGGAGGTGTCATTTGCCAGATCCAGTTGTACCCTCCTGGTTTCAGCCCCTGCCTGGGCTGCGTATGAAGGTGTGGGTGCTGTGCTCTTGCTTAGGCCAAGAGAGATGTGCACGCCTGGGTGTCTGTGCATCTGTGTGGGTGGCCACACATGGTCTCAAGCACACGTAGATCACTTGAATCGAAGCACCCACAGATAGGAATATGTGTAGATATAGATATTTCTACACATTCACACACTCACGTGTCCCTGTACACGCACGCACGCACCAATACTCATCTGTATGCACATGTGCACATCCAATAATATCCCTCTCCCTCTCTCTAGCTGCTTTTCTGCACTCTAACGTGTGCACATGAACCCTGAGCGACTGGCAGAGTGGGTTCTCCCTGTCTCCAGCACCACGTCAAGGATGAAACATTGCTGGGAAGAGGCGTTGCACAACGCTGCTGAAATCACCCTGTCCCTTCCTAGCCCTGCAGCTCCAACCTCTACGTGAGGAGAATAAAACCTGGAGGGTTTTTTTTGTGCAGCACAGGGCTTGATGGAGCCCTTATCTCCACGGTGCTGCACCCGGAATAGAAAAATCCATTTCCATATCTGACTGGAACAAATCCCCCCTGAACAAGGCCAGAATTCCAGTTAGCTCCTCCGCGTGGTCTCCAGTGGCCTCTGGGTTGCCCAGAGTCAACAGCTCTGTCATTAGGAGGGGGATCACAAGGGCAGTTGGGTGAGTGTTATTACCACAGAAAAAGCTGGGGATTTACCCAGAAGGAGACAGAGCTGAGGAAAGAGGCAGGGGCCAGGAGGCAGCAAGGTACCATCCATCATTCTCAGTGTTTGTTCCTATGAAAAGCAGCTTTTTAATCAACAGTGATAACTGGCAGACTTTTGTTGTGTTCGTTTTCTCCTTGTGGATTTTAGAAAAAAAAAAAAAAACAAAAAACATCTTTTCTTTTCCCTCCTCCAGTCTTATTTTCGGTTCATCTCAATTTTCCCCCCCTCTAGTTTACCACTGAAATATACACCATGGTGTAGGGGGGGGAGAAGAAAACACAAGACAGAAAATTAGAATGCTTGTGATTCTTTTCTTTTAAATTCCAGTTCAGGCTAAAGACCCTCACTTTTTTTTTTTGCAGGTCTCCCTGGAACACATTTTGTTTTCCACAGCAGGCTCCTCTGCAGAGTTACCTTGCTAGTAGTGGGCTCAGACTCAAAGTGATGCCTCCTTGGTGCACTTGCTTGGTGCTGTGCTTGGGCTCTTCAGAGAGGCAGGTATTTTAAGAAGCCAGCCAGTTGGTTGGGTTTCTTGAGTGGTGACTTGCAGCAGATGGAGCTGCAAAGGCGTGTGAAATGAAGTCACAGCTCACTTCAGTGGTGCAGGAGAGTGTCTCTGCTAGATATGTTGGCAGCCAGGGAACTCCCCCTTCTCCCCACATCAGCTGGGCAGAGACTCAGGGGTGAAGGACACCCTATATCTGACCCCATCCCCTCGAGCTGTCTCCTGTAAGGTCTTCATTCACCGGCAAATGACTTCTTCAGTGCCTGGTCATCAACCACAAACAGCATTGAATGCTCTCCAGCTAATTTCTGTGCCAGTGGTCCCCAGCATCCCCCTTGCACTGCTCCCCACTGCAAAAGGAGCAACACAGACACCCGTTTGAAGTGCTGTGTTCTCCATCTACCTGACCTTTTCATCTTCCTCCTGTTTGTTACCCTGTACAAAGACAGGAGCTTTGGCAGTTCCTCTTCATTCTGCTAGGATTTCTTGACTGTGCTTCACGCAGTGGATGCTGCAGGAGCTCCCCAAGCAAAAAAACCCAGCTTTTTTTTGGTCAGATTGTGTATCCCACACCCAAGAATAGTTTGGCTGCTTTTCTCACTGGGGCCCACAGGATGGGCAGCTGATATATGGACGGGAGGAGATCTCCTACTTTCACATCTCAGACTTTCTCTCAAGAGACCTGTGATATATCTTGTCACCACCCAGCCAGCTTTTGCCACTGAACCTCCACAAACTGCCTCCTCCAACATCTTCTGTCCCCAGTGAGGCATGTTTCCTCCTGGTGGGTCCCTCCTTCCCACTCCTCAAAACTGTTTATGGAGAAAAGTGCCCAGCTCTAAGCAAGGGCTCTAGTATGAGAGCACTTAGTGGCTGTAGCTTAGCAACAAGCATTCATGGAGAAGTTCAAGGTGTGGGGACAGACATTTAGCAGAGCCTGCAGGAATGAAGCCAAAATGGAGAGAGAGACCTTCATCCCACCCACCCTTGCACATTGCTGCTTCTCTAGCCTGCCTGCTCAGACAGTCCCACCCACAACTTCCCTCCAGCAGCTGATGCACAGAAGCAAGCTCTCCTCCAGCACTCCAAGCAATACTCACACTCTTGGGCAAGCATTCACACGTGGACACACATTTCCACAGACCCTTCCATGCCTACACAGCCCCGTTTGCTCTTTGTGTACATTTGTACCCATTTATCCACCCCCCACCACCACCCCCAGCTTAGCACCAGTGCCCAATCCATGGACATCTCCCACTGGCCTCGGCTCCTCCATCTTTGGTTCTCTTCAGCCATTCTCATGCATGTACAGTCCAGTGATGAGACTTTTGTGTACAAACACCTTTATAGACATGCAGACACATCATTTCCTCTCTATTCTGAGCCAAACACTCAACTGTTTCCCACGAGACCACCCAGTTCCTGGTGTTGCCCAGTCACAGTGCTCCTACATTGGAGATCCCATGACCTCCCTCTGCTTCCTGCCCTTGATGTCCTGTGCCAGCTAACCATTACTCCATACAGAGACTGACTAACCCCAAAGACATTGTGTCTTCTCAGGAAAGCCCCATCTATAGCATCCCCCTCCCCTAAACACACAGAATGGTTCTGCCCAGTTGGCCTTTTAAGTTCAAAGGCTTTTGGTTTATTTACAGTAAGGCTTAAGGGAAAGGAAAAGGGAAAGA